TAGATTTGACAGTATTAAACCCCAAATCTGCGAGGAGAGTATGTCAGTGGGGAACAAAATAGAGAGAGAAAGAATATACGGTGCTAATTACCCAGAACAAAAGCTAATCGAGTAATCCTATTGTTTGTTCGCTAATACTCCCTTGCCGTAGCACACAGACTGGGAAAACTACGTTCATCTGCGTCGAAAACCATTATTATTCCGGAAATGGATCTATCACCAAAGCTGTGTGTGAGAGGAGTAAGGTGTCATAATAACAGCAAAAAAGAACACATACGAGTCTTGTTAGCAAAACATCGAATAATTACAACTTGAAATTCGTATCATTCGGGATATACATCAAGCCTAGGCTCACATGCAGGATGAAGTATGATGGAAACGACGTGAGAGTATTTTTCGGCAGACTCCAGACGAATTTAATTGCTGCCAGTAAATACGGCAAAAAATGTACACAATTTTTTACTTTCAACTGATCCATTGTGGGGTGAATTATATTATACCTGAAGTGATTTCCCCAACTGCATCAGAGAGAGACCAACCATGATCCAGATGTCTAGATTGGGTTTCGTCTCCCACCTCACTGTGAGTGACTGAAGTTGAATCGTTTGAAAGACACTAGTCTGAAGCGACGTGCCCCAAGACCTAGTTTAGCTTTTGATAAACTTGGGAGGTTTTCAGTGCAAAACCGATTGATGTAGCCACGATTACCAGTGTATTTTCTTTACTGTTTTCCAAGTAATTACTACTGAGTCAGATCTTCATGAGACCAATATCCATTATTGAATTAAAAACAAGATCGTTTTCCGGTTTGGAAGATGATTCAATGATGGAAAAACGAACCCAAAAACGTAGTGGATAGATATAGCGTTTGCCCTTGGTCAATCATCATTCAACACGTGAATCAAATAAGGGACATGTGTAAAAAAAGCCGGAGCTATTGGAAACACAAAAAGACACTATTCATTACAGATGAACTAACATGAGTTTCCAAAAGGATTTAATCAATAGAACAGCAGATTTTATGATATATTTACCTCTAGTTACCCTCTGCTCGTTGGATATCAAGCCGGTCTGTCGAAAATTCCTATAGAAAAAAAGCAGATCTATAATCTGTTTGTTTTCTATGGAACACCCTAGTTGAAGTTGAGAACACTGAGGTTTACATTACCCAAGTTGATTGACCACATTATTGTTTTGAATAGAGTGAGTAGCTCACTCAACAATCGTTTCACACCCATTGCAAGGATTGTGAATGACAATTCATGTATCACAGACTGCGTGTCTATTTGTCATATCCGTCACGGATAGGTAGCAACAAAAAACCCAGATTTGCAACATGACGAATAGAACCAGGCTAAATTATTGTCCAGATTGTTTTCCGAATAACTATGATTTGGTCATTTCACATTTGATCATTGGAATATGGATGGGAGGAGGGGGGTGGGTGCAAGCACACACTACATCTGGCTCACATGTCCCGGACAAATACATGTTTATCATCAATGTGAACAACGGCAACGGAGGCGGAGGGTGGTGATGGTGGAGCACGCATTTTGTACTGATCGATTTCACTTTTTCCCTCGCGAACTAATTTGGCTCTCACTGCAAGGGCTTGAAACAGGACGGTTGAACGGACACGCGTGTTCAGCACACAATCTGTTTGCGCAGTTGTCTACAATTGTGTTCAACCCTATTTTACGTAGCCTGTGTGATCAGGTTGGGGTGCATGATTAACTATACTAAGCCACTGATAAGCACACGATCACAAGCATACATACATCATGATGGGTCTACAATACAACAAACAGGCATGTAGCGTTCCACTCTGAATCAATAGGCACCTGACTACTCGCGGTGTAACATGTTACGGAAGCAGTGCTAACCAGGCCTAGCTGAATACCTGTGTTTGCGTGTGCGTGAAGGTCCGTGTACAAATCAACCTGGAAGTGGATAATGACCGATAAAATGAACGAGAACCTCAAGGCCACGTCAACCGAACATCTGTTCAAATGAAATCGAGAGTATAACAAGGGTTTATTGATGGTGTAACACGTTTTGGCAGATCCAACAACACAGGTAACTAAACATACCACTGAGTGGGTCTCTGCGGAATCGTGTAACATCCACCAAACTACGAACCCATTTGGACATGAGTTCTTGGGTTTCTGCGGCGAAATAGTAGACCCGACTGCGATCCTTGTGTAGTGTCTGTATAGAAAAAACGTTGGACCATTTGCCGATTTCCACATTGTCCACAATACATTCACAATTACGCAAATCGACCCGACCTGAAAGAGAACAGTGTTGTAAGAAGGTGGAAAATGTTTGAGAGAAAGCGCACCTATGAATGAAACAGTTGATCAGTGGCAGATGTTCAATTTATTCAGTTATGATGTAGTTGAAATCAAATAGGACATTATATATTTACCTGTTCTTCGAACTGGCTAATTGTCACGAAAGCCATTTACTACTAGCGTACATGACAACCTCAGAGATTATTGTACGAACCGAACATGCCGCAATGTGTATTGTTGTTGACATAGGCCAATTCCAGTCAAACCATCAACAGATTGATGCACCCGAGGGGTAAACTTTTTTGATCGTGACGAGATTCTCTGTGGGACCCGAACCCATGCATGAACGTTCCCTACGACACGGCACTGTGTTCTTCCTACTAACTGAACTGAGAGGCCTTGAAGATCGTCCAAGGGATTCCGAGGATGCTACAGATAAGCGGTCGCAGCGGTCAGTAAAAATGATACCCGGTGAAACCGTATGCCTCTGTAAATTGGGTGGGTACCCGAATGCGAGGTGGGCGGAGATACGGGCGTGACCTTGTATCTTGGCCGGAACAGTACATATAATTCAGGGGCGTAGGAGGCATTCATAAGCGAGTTCGAAACCCGCCAAGGCTTATAATCAGTTCAGCTTCACCTCTCACGACCATTAACCATTGAAAATCCAAGAGCAGTGTATGACATGCTGAAACAAAATGCGTTATTGCCTGACAACAGCGAAAGTCATGTGGGTTAGAAAACCGCAGTCAACGTAGTACAAACACATGGTTGTCAGTTTATACAAGTAAGGCAGTAACTGGTATGTTCACAGTCAACCTCAGTCTCAGTTTTTACAGCCATTGACCATGCATTTTCATGCGCCGGTTTTCATCGCTGTCTTTTGGCTGCCCATTTGGATAAAAGAGTAGAATGAATATTAGAATGTTGAGCTTATAGTCAAAGAGAAGACAGAGAATTCATAAAGACCAGTGTTGCAAGAATAATGAGCAGATGCCACTGTTTGTGACACCCAGTCATCTCACTCAGTGTCCACTACCACCGATTATCATGATCTCGGGGTCCGCATCCAGGGAGCCTAACGGGACCTGTGACCCAGTCCCCTGGTCAGAGTTTTCATACCCTCATGCTAGGTCTTAGTTTGACTGCTCTTGACCTTTTATCGTCCACTACCTGCCTCGGAAAACATCGCGCATCGAGGCAAATTATTTGTTGACATGCGCTATACACGTCCTAACCAACGCATTCTGTGAAGGTGGACCACTTGCTTTAGTGGACGACCACGGTTACCCAAAACTCTGCACCTAACCTCAGCATTGCTCGTCCGGCTGCTCCACCAGATTCGTGCAATGCGGCGTAGACAGCGGTGTTCGAATACCTATAACCCATTTTTATATTTTCTCTCTAATGGCTTGCAATAATTCACAGCTGGATCACCCCAAGGATCCTCGAAATCTGTCAATGTTCAATGTTCAATGTTCTTCAATTAGAGGCAGAGGGTAAATTCCCGTATGAGCCTCATCACCACAGACTCGAAGATCTCATTCATGATAGATCTGCATACCACATTGTTCGC